CTGGTTCGCATGGGTGATCACTTGAAACAGTATGATCATGAGTGAGTAGTTGTTCCGGTTTAGGTACTTCTTGCATAAGTTGTAGTCTAATTGATGTTGGTTGATGAATTAAGAGTTTAACTAATTCTGGAACACACTAGACCTAGTATTAGACACCTGGGAGCTTTAAGAATGGAGGGCAGACGAGCAAAATGTCAGAAAATAACCGGCGTCGGAGAAGACGGAGGCTGGGAGGAGTGGAGGCGGCTCCACCCTTCAATGGAGGCGGCTCCATTGAAGTGGAGCCGGCTCCATATGTTATTGGAGGCGGCTCCAATAGGGTGGAGGCGGCTCCACTTATTTTTGGAGCCGGCTCCAATGTGGTTTTTCCATTTTTTTTAAAGTTTCAGCGAGAGTTTTGCTTAGGTACTTGGATTTTAACGGTTCCAGTTTAATTCAAAGCCTTAATGGAGGTTTTCATAGGTGTCTAAGAGCAAATTAAATCTCCCAAGAGCCTTGTTAATGCATAATTAATCACCTTGTATTATAGTTTGAACATTATAGAATTCTTGCACAAGTTAGTATACTGTTTAAATGTGAAGCTACAAAATTGTTCAACATGGTTTTAGCAATTTTGTTGAGAATGATTTTATAGATTTAAATCATGTTCCAGTGGTGAAATATAAGCATGTCAGATTACAGAATTATTATATGCTTATAGAGGATAAATTGATTTATACATGTGTTAAATATAATATCAATTCTTGGATAATTATGTAGCGGTATAAACTAAGCATGTCCAAGTATATATTTTGATTATGATTAGCACGGATTAAAGGATGTCTATACTTATTCTCTATGCAATAAATTATGAGAGAATCATGCAACGGTGGTATAAGACAAGCATTTTAGTTTACAAAGTTCTATTATGCCTTGTATGGAATTAATTAATGTAAACAGTTATTTAAATTTCGCCAGTTATGGTGGAACAATTGATGCCTATATGTAATATATTATTATCAATTGTGGAATTTATGGATTAGTTGGTATTTACATAGATACTTGTATTGCCAACTACTGGATGGATGGATTGTATGCACCGGTATGGGACGGTGACATACTAGGGACGGATTAGTTTAAAAATACTACATCCTACCTACATGGAATAAGGGAATGGATTTTAAAATAAATCCTACTTATGCTCAAGTCAAAGAAGCTGCACAAGCTGAATGACTAACTGGATTCTTGATGGATAGTTAGGATCGGACTTTATATATATTTTTATGGTATCGCGATATGAGCTTGAGTCTCTAAGTCGTCGGTTAGGGAGCGTATATGCAGTAGGATGCGTAGCTGGACATGGGAGGTTGTGGTGTACCCTGTTAGGTCTAGGTACTCATGCCCACCTATGGGTGCGTTTTTGCATGTTACCTTCTATTCAGGTTGAGACCTTCTCCATAGTCCAGTGAGAGTCCTGTAGTGTGATTATACATATGTATGGACTATTAGCTATTGTTGAATTGGTTAGAATGTACATGCGTATCGAGTCTCTGCTTGGATTGTAGTAGGATAGAACTTGTTCGTGGGCCTGACCCACTCCTATTTTTCAGGTGTACGTCAGTTCCAGGCTTGAGCTTGTTCGTGCTGTGCAGAGACGATCTTCCATTCTACCGACGATGTAGGATTTCTTTCCAGATCTTGGATTTGGGTTTTATCTTTCTTTTTACTTTCATTTAATGTGAGATTTTTATTAGGGGTCCACTAGAGATGGATTCCCGAGCTGTTCAAATTATGGATATTTGGTTTATCGACTTTAAGTATTTAATTATTTAAGGAGTATCTTTTAGTTTCTTTTCAGCTTTAAACTTTCATTTCGTAATTCATTTTGTATTCCATGTTCGCTATAAAATATTAATTGTTTGATACTCCCTCGGGTTTGGGCCTGGGCCTGATCAACCCGTGTCTCGGATCCGAGGGGTATCACACTTTGTGTTAATGGAATTAACAGTGCGCTATTTAACAATTATGCGTACGGTTAACGACTGGAAGGAAATTAATTATCTAGTTTTAATTTAACAATTTAAGATGCTATAACATGATTCTAAATTAAGTTTTAGATGCATGGTGGAGTCTTTCAATTAATAAATTAGACTTGTGGCATAGTGTATGGCTCTGTGCTAAAAGATAGAACATAATACAAGTATAGAACTTAGTACACTGTTACCGGATAGAAATAACTAAATTGCTTAAATTAATTTAGCAATTTATTGGACTATAATATGATTATATAATTTATTTTACATGCATGATAGAGTCATTGATATATTAGATTTGATCTATGCATGCTATGAATGCTGGTTGTTGAACTGTTAAACCATTTCTTGCAATTACATGGTTTAGATCTTGGATTTAAATTGCTGAAACTTTAATCACTTTTCTGCAATGATTTGGATATTGGTTTGGACTGTAAATTACTAGCTTATTATTTATGTGTCGTAATTTACATGGATATGAAGGATTGTATGCACCGGTATGGGACAGTGATATATTAGGGATGGTTTAGCTCAAAACGCTTAAACCTAACTTATCGGATTAAAGGAATGGATTGGAAAATATTGAATCCTAACTGTGACTAAGTCAGATCAACTGTGATTAAGTTGAATGGCTTCCTGGAGTAATGGATGGTGGTTAAGTCATATCAACTGAATAAGTTGAGTGACTAACTAGTATGTTTTGTATGTCTCCTCAATAAATAATTAAATGACTTATTATGGTTTTGGACGGATTTTAGATATATGATTATGGTACCATGATATGAGCTTGAGTCTCAGAGTCATTGGTTAGAGTGCGTATATGCAGGGAATGTGTGGCTGGATATAGTAGGTAGGTGTACCCTATTAGGTCTAGGTACTCATACCCACCCTTGGGTGCGTTTTCGCATGTTACCTTTTATTCAGGTTGAGACCCCTACTGTAGTCCAGTAAATGTCCCTTAGTGTGGATATATATATATGTATAGACTAGATAGTTATTGTGAGGTATCTACGGTGTATCTGCGTATCGGGTCACTTTATGGATTGCAGTTAGTTTAGAACTTGCTCATGGGCCTGACCTACTCTTCTATTATTCTTTTTAGGTACAGGATGATTCCAGCCCTAGAGCTTGATCGTACTGTTCGAGGACAGTTTCCATTCGTCAGATTACGTAGGACTTCTCACGATGTTTTCAGTTTTATTTACTTTCAGTTTTCAGTTCAGTTGGGATTTTATTTAGGGGTCCACTAGATGGATTCCCGAGTTATAATCATGGAGGTTTTGGATGTTAGATTTTATAAAGTTTTATCAGTTAAGGATTCTATATTAGTATTCATTTCAGCTTTTAATATTCATTCTTATTTCATTTTGTCATCTGTGTTCGTTATAAAATACTTTAATTATTTGATATTCCCTCGGGTTTGGGCGTGGGCCTGATCAACCCGCATCTCGGATCCAAGGGGTATCACACAAAGGCATGGTTGATGCTTTTATGGGTAGCTCTTACATTGATAGGCATGAGGATGATGTGTGGCATCTTTATGAGAGTATGAGTGAAAATTCTTTGCATCGTACTTTATCTTCAAAGAATGGTAGAAATTCTATTGGTAGGAAGAGTGTTGGCTTACATCAAGTCAACCACTCTAATGAAATTGCTACCGAAATGAAATCATTATCTCAAAGGTTTGATCAATTTTTGATCAACCAAAACTTGGCAAATCAAGTATCTTCCTTCCCTAACCATTCTCATCATGCATCTAATGAGACATGTATGACTTGTTCAAGTGTTTTACATTCTACTTCCAATTGTCCCCATCGACATGTGCAAAGTGAGCATCATGAACAAGCAAATGTTGTTTTTACTAATCAAGGGAACAATCCTTATGGAAATCATTACAATCCTAGTTAGATGAATCACCCAAATTTCTCTTGGAAAAACTAAGGGGAGGGCTCAAACCTTTCCCAAGGCAGTTTTCAAGGAAAGTACATTCCACCTCCAATGCAAAGCCAAGGTTTCCAAGGTTTTAGATCATCATATCAATCACAAGGAAACCAATTTTCAAATTCTCATTTCCCAAATCAATTATATTCCCAAGGAAATGTTAGAAGTCCCGCTTTTGAAGAAAAAGTTTTGACCGCTTTGGGCACTTTAGAGGCAAATACACAATTACTTCATTCTCACTCTCAATCCATTGCAAAGCTAGAAACTCAAGTAGGCCAAATAGCTAGCACTTTGAATGCAAGAGAGATGGGAAAAATGCCTTTGAATGCCACACAAAAGTAACAATGTGTTGTAGAGACTCATTCCTTATCGGAACGTCACACAATAGAGCATGTCAATGCGGTGACTACCTTGAGAAGTGGAAAGATTGTGGATAATCAAGTGGGTGTGTCCAATGAAGAGAGTGAACCAGTGCAACCACAAGTTGACACCCGTCCCGTTTCATATCATATTCCTCCTTCATTGCATGTGCATGACCATATAAATGAGAATGTGTTGAAAGTGATTTCGAAAAGAAAGATTTGCAAAATGATTTGAAAACTTCTTGTGTTGAAGAGACTTCAAGGAAAAATTCTGAAAAGGTTTTTGAACCAAAGGCTCCATTTTCGGATGGCTTAAAAGGATCCATTTCAAATGACAAGCAAAAGGCCAAAATCAATGAAATCATGGACGTGTTTAAGCAAGTGAAAGTCAATCTTCAACTTTTGGATACAATCAAGCAAATTCCGACTTATGCGAAGTTCTTGAAAGACTTGTGCACCCAAAAGAGGAAGAACAAAAGCCAAGCACCTAGAAAAGTGGTTTTAACCGAGCAAGTGAGCTCAATTTTGCAGCATAACACTCTCCCAATAAAAAAAAATGTCTTGCAATTTTATACGTATATTTTTTTTTATAATAATAATAATAATATAAATTTATTTATTTTGGTTTGGAAGACTGTAGAATAAAAAAGTAGAATTTTGGAAAGAATAAAAATGGCAAAAAAAATATAGAATTCTTGAATATCTGGTTATGAATTCGTGTTTTAATGTGACACTTTAATGAATAAAAATATATAAAAAAAATCATTTGAAAATAGAGAAGAGAAGATGTGCTTTAATGAGATCATTTTTGAATGATTGTGCGCTTTTAATATGACTTTTTATGTGAAAAAAATAAAAAAAATATTAAGAAATTACTTACACTTTTAGAATAGTATATATATATATATATATATATAATAGCATAATTAATATGATTGTGCACAAGGAAAACATATGTACACAGGTCCAAAAGGGTAAAGCCCACAGTTGTAGTGGGAAACAAAAATAAATGGCATAAGATAAATAATCAAATGGATTAGCCCAGCCCAAACAACAAATAGACCCAGATGAAATTGATCCGAACTGAATCCCTATTGACCGTTAAGGTCACAATTTCGGTAACAAGAGCATAGGATGAAGCTACCCTTGCTCCACTGGTTAATCAGGGTGGGATCAGTTTAGGGAGTTCCCATTCATTGATTATGTGAGGAGCAACGGGAGTGTCAGGAGCAAGACCAAGACCATTATTAGTAGCTTTAAGTCTCATCGTGCTGAGTGTACAATGCAACAAGGAATTTGTAGATATGCACTTCTTGAAAATTCTGTGTTTGCGTTCCGACTACACATTGTATATCAGAGAAGTAAAGGCAAGGTGGTATTGATTTCCCCTTCCAATGATGGCATCCCCAAGCTACCAATTCATTCTACCCACAACGTGTTTGAATAAATGTCCAAATGAGAAAGATGAATGAACATTGGAAGAAGATATGATTGTGTGATTCAGGTATGAGTTCGTGCTTAGGAATGTCTACTTATCCATGTTCCTTACTTGTTAAGAAAACTGTATGATGTCTCACTCATGTAAGGAAAGTTGATCTGGCCTTGTGGTATCTCTTCTATCTTCTAGTCCCAGAAGGGGTAAAATGGGTGTGTGAGTTTAAAAAAGTTGTTGTTTTGAGATCAATATTGATTGAGTTCAGTTTTTCTCCCCTAATTTCTCCTCCTCTTGTCTTTCTCTCATCTCTTCTCTTCTATATCTCATTTCTGTTTCTATCTATTCTACATCACTTTTCATCTCCATGTTGGTATGTATTTTATTTGGGGAAAAAAAAAAAAAAAAAAAAAAAAAAATTTAATGGTCTACCAAGTTTTATAAAGTTTGCAGCTATGCAGTTCTATGTATATCTATGAAACATAAGACGAAAGCCAGATACGGAACCAGAAAATTTTGTGTGTGTGTTGCGGGGTTGGGGGATATTAAAATTTCACAGGTATATAATTCAAAACAAGAAAAATCACAACTATATAATACTAAAAAAAATTTCCAGTAGGGGCAATTTTATATATACTAGGTCTGTGTCTGATGAAAGCTGTTGGATTTTATTTTATTTTATTTATTATTATTATTTGTTAATTCATGTAAGCTATTCTTAGTCAGGATTTGAGTAGTTCCTTTCATAATTTTGTTTATCTGGCCTGATTTTGTAAAAATTCATGAAAAGTATCATTAAGTGGTTCTACAGTGTCTTCATGGTGCTGCTGATTTTGCTTCTTCCTGGTCTGGTTCTTGGATGGAGGTATGCATCTTTCATTTTTATTATGAGGTCAATGTATGCTTACCTGTTGAGTGCTTTGGGTTGCCATTGCTTGAGTTTTTTTTTTTTTTTTTCCCTCTTTCTTTTTTGCACTACTGCAAAATGCCAAAAACAATATCCAACAACAAGCGTGTTATTATATATGGATGATATTCAGTTCTATAGCACTGAAATTCAAGTCCAATAAGCTTCGCTTAGGACAACTCTGCCGAATTTACATCTCTAGCAGAGTTTGTTATTATCTGTGGTAGATCCACAATTTCTGTAAGATACAGAAAACTAAAAACCGAACACATAAATCCACAACAAGAGCAATAACACTCTGAATTCTTCAATCATCTTTCTCTGAAACTTTAATATGAATGCCATCTTCAAAATGTAGAAATGGTTTTCGACCAACTTCTCCTCCTTTGATTTTTGTCCACCTATTCAAGAATCGGATTCTTAAAAACTATTAGTATTCAATAAAAAAACACTTGCATGTAAATGTTTACAACCAGAAAAAAATTACCTATATTTGGTGACCAAAACATGGAGAAATGTGGACATGAACACCTTACTGTACTCTGCACCTGCACATTGCCTTATTCCTCCACCAAAAGGGTTGAAATTCTTAGATATAGTAACTGAATCATAGTCCTATGTTTCATCGAAGCAAATGACCAAGTAGAACATTGCGTTAATGATTTATGCTTTCTAATGCCACTAAAAATTAGAGCATTACGTGAAAAGGTTTGAACATTAAAGTTAAAAATCATTTTCCTCCAAAAAAATGCAATTGAATTATGTACCTTCCAACTCCACGGGTTGAATGCAAGTGGATCATTAAAGGTGTTCGGATTCAGATGATGAGCAGGAGTGACAAGCAACATAGCCCAGCCTGCTGGAATTGTATAACCTGGAAACCAATGGTTCAATATTGAGTATTTTGAGGCCTTTTGAATTTCAGATCCACATATAAGTATCTTATAATGAGAATGGAAGAGATTGAATTTAACTACGTGCAAGTATACCATTCACTTGAATATCTTTCAGTGTTCTTCGTAACAACCCTGGGGCGACGTTTCCCAACCTAAGAATTTCACTGACAACCTGTAATTTCAGCATCCAGGCAAGTTAGTTTAAACTTTAGATAGTAATTAGTATGTGAGCATGAAGAGAAAAAATATGGAGATGAGAAAACTGACTTGAACTGTAAAAGTCATGGATTTGTATTCATCCCATGTGAGCATGGAATTTGAATTTCCTCTGTTCTTGAGTATCATCTCATGTTCAGCCTGAGTTATCATCAGAGTATAAAAATTAAATTACTATATTATTTTTATACATAAAAAAAGAAAAAGAAAAAAAAGATGGACAGCTTGAAAAACCTTTGAAACTGTAACTTTACTTACTTTCAGGTCCTCCACCGCTGAAGGGTTCTCAGAAAGAAACTTGAAAGCTAATGTGATTGCCGTTGAAATTGACTCAAAACTGGCAAATAATGATCCAAAAACAAACCCGATTATGAAGTCCTCCTTCAGGAAGGTGTGAGTATTCATGTCTTTAACAGCTTCATCAAGGAGGTCCCCTCGACATGTCTCAGGTGAATCTTGTTTCTCCTTTATCTTCTCCTTGATCATGCTTATTACTTTGTTTCCCTCCTGAATGAACACTAAGACATAATTAAACCAACAACTATATATCTCAACCTTTTAAAGCAAATTAACAAATTTAGAAATTAAAGTTTCTTTCTTTTTTCTTGTCAATAACCTTCAAGCACTTATGGTATGTGGTGCCAGGGATGTTCAAAGGAAAGGTTCCTAGCCCTTTTAAAAGATAAGTGAGATTCTCACTAATCTTCTCTGATGACTTTTCGAAATCATATCCAAAAAAATGCTTAGCAGTGAATTCAAACACCATCTGCAATATTAACAGAATATGTTATTTTAATTGTGAAGTTAAGAGTTTACATAGTTCACATAATTAAGTAGGGTAATTGAAACTAGAATTTAAAATATATATATGTATATATATATATTTACAGTTGAAACTGCATGTTTGACTTCGATAGATGTCTGACATGACCAAGTGTGCATAGTTTTGCAAATAATTTGTTCTAATTGAGCAAGTAACTTCTCCTTGAGGGGCTCTGAACCGAAGTGATTCAAAAGTAAGCTTCGTCCGTATTTATGAACAGCACCGACTGCATTAGTCCTGGATTCACCATCTTGCTCAAACAGCTTTGAAAATGTGTCCAGGTACTACATTTCAACTGACTTCCCTTCTTGTAGAATGATAGAATGGTTGAATTTGGGGTCAGCTGATACTACAGCAGTCCGACCACCCAAACTAGTTCGAAATATTGGTCCATACCTGCAAGATTAACAGAATTTTATGTAAATTACCTCCCAAAAAAAAAAAAAATGAAAAAAAAAAAGAAAAGAAGAGGTCCATGGACTACCTTTGAACTCTTTTCTTGATGAATGGATGGACGTCTATGGAGTTGCTGGGAGAAAGCAAATGAAGGGTTTCTCCAATGAGAGGCAAACCCATGGAACCTCGGGGAAGAATTCCATTGCATTTGGGGTTCCTCCACTTGTGAATCCACTGAGTTATTGCTATGCTAACCAATGCTACAATACACAATATTGCAACTGACCACATTGTTTTCTAAGTTATAGTTACACTAGCAGAAGCAGTACTATCTTAGGTACCCCTCTCACACCTGCATTTATATATATATATATATATATATATATATATATATATATATATATGGACAGTGGACTATGAAGTTCAATATTATCTACAGAAATGGCTTTTTGAGTATAAGAAGCCGGCCATGTTGAGAATCTTATTTAGACCAAAACAGTTTAGGGTAGTGTTAGGAACTGTGTCTCAAATTTTTTGGTCCAATTAGAATTTTTATTTTAGAGTTGGTATTTTGTTGGCTCCAAAGAATTGGGTTTATAACCTATAAATAGATACCTAAATTAAGAGTGGAGCCTTGTGAGATTGAGAGAGATGTGATTTCAAGAGGGAGTTAATGGGTAGAGATAGTTTATTGGTTGGTAGATTAGAAAAATCACCCGTCGGAGTTACACATGGTAAAAAAGCACGTACACGTTGTTAGTACTATTGTAATTTTTGTTAATTATAGTGGAATCTCCTCATCTTTCGGAGGTTAAATCTTGTATATGTTTGATTAATTTCTTTATTGGTAGAAGGAGCCTTGTGAGATTGAACATGCAATGCATTTTGCATATCGATCAATGATGTGGAAAGTGATGATTGAGTTGATAGAATGTGCTAGGAATTATGTCTCAAATTCTGTAATACCACGATAATTTTAAAAGATTTATTAATTAGGATTAATTATTTTATTTTATTTTTCAATGATTTATTTTATTTTATTGAGTGCTAGATTAATTATCTTATTTTAATTAAGTTATATTTCGTGATTATGTATGATGATTGATTGTTTGTGTGGTTGATTATTGATTGAATTATTGGTGTGTTGATTTTATTGGTATTATATGACTTAGTTGTAAATTCTTGTTTGTTTATGTGCTTCATGTAATTAGTTATTTTAATTTCTGTATTTAATTAATTATCTTATTTATTTAAATTAATTGGATTGGGCTTAAGGAAAGTTGGACCAAAAGATGTGGTCTTGGGCTTGTATGAAACCTTATTGGGTTAATTAATGAAGGTCCGTGGTTATTTAATTATTTAAATGATCACTTTTGTATCAATTATATATATATATATATATATATATATAATTATATATAAATATAATTAATTAATAATTGTTATGGAAAGATATATATATAGATATATATTTATTGATATTTATAAGTATATATGATTTAATTAACTAATGAGTTAATTATGGAAGGAATATATATTTATATATATATATGTTTATAGATATAAATTATTTAAAGATTATTATTTTAATTCATAATACTAGTTGGAATAGGATTTGGAATTTAAGGTGTATAAAAATACACATAAGGCTTTAGGGTTAAAGGTTTTACACGTTAGAAAAATAAAATAGACAGAGAGAGAGGAAGAAGAAGGGCTGACAAGGAGGAGGTCGGATCTGAAAAGGAGGACGTCGGAATTGGAAGAGATAATTAAAGCTTAAAGCGTCGGTTTCGTTTCGAAACATTCAGGCGAGTTTTCTCTAACTTTCCTCTTAGAACTCATAAGGATTTCACCTTGAGTATCAAGGCTTTAATTAAATTTATTTGTTTAAAAATTATGGTTAGATCGGAATAATTAAAAAGTATAAACTATTATATTTGATTTTTAGATTATTGGATTTTAATTGATATATATAGGTGTTATGTATATTTTAAAATCAATCTATAGGTGGATTTGTGACCCAAGAGAGTTAATTATGGTTTCTTTATTTTCTAGAATTGTTCTGGAATTTTCTGGAATTTTTCTGATATTTTTAGGAATTTATTAGGATTTATTTTCCTATTATTTGTGAGGAAAATAATTATATATATATATATATATACTAGGTAACTGGCGCATGTGGAGCGGCGGCACAATAAAGAATTGATCCAGTGCAGCGCAGTGTAGGATAATAGGGTGTATACGCCAATTAGGGCCATTTGATTAATTAAACTTATGTGAATTGATATGGTGCATCGCGGCGCATAAAAGTTTGGTGCGTAGGTGTATCTGGACCATAGAAGTGGTCTGGTCAATTATGGATTATTTGGTGTATTGCAGACCATGAGAAGATGGTGCACTCGCTGATCTGGACCTTAGATCTATTATAGTTAATAGAAAATAATCTAGTGTGAGCGTGTTCATTTGCGCACTCATTTATGACCATTGGATGCGGCATAAAGGAAGTGATGGATTCAGTGTGGTGAGCTCACGGTAGCTGAAAGAGCTTAGCAAATACCAGCACACAAGGAGGCTTGAATCCAGCGCGTGCAAGTGCATAGTAAGCACGTGGGCGCGCGTGGGAAACTATGTTGGCCTAATTCGACACTAGAAATTAAAACGGTCATAACTTAGTCATTTTAAATCGAAATTGGGTCATTCTTGAGCTCAAATTCAAGGATTTTTCGTCTTCTTTCCAATGGTACCAATTTCATTATCAGATTCCCATCCTACTAGGAGATATTTATGTTTTAGTGAGAAAGTGTCGGAAAACTATTTAAACCAATACGGAGTATTTAAAGGAAACTATTTCTGACATATTTAGTTGCACTAATTTGTGTAAATATAATAAATTAATAATTTGTTATGGAAGGAAGTGTATATATATATATATATATATATATATAATTATTTATATATGGGTATATATAGTTTAATTTGTCTATGAGTTGTATGGAAGGATATATATATATATATATATATATATATATATATATATATATATATATATATATATATGTATGTATGTATGTATATTGATTTTAAATAATCAAGGATTATTAAAGAAGGTGTTAAACACATATATACATTAAATAACATATGTGTAGGTATATATATATATAAATCATTTAAGATGATTAATATTATCATTCTTATTTGGCATATCTTAATAGGCTGGTTGTTAAATTAATGATATGCGTATAATATGCATGTGATGGCTATGTATGATTTAGCGTATTGTTAATTTTAAAGTTAATTCATGGTTAAAGTGTGGGCATGGATGAATTGTCAAATGATTAAATATATTACCTAAATATTTGTATGAATAGAATACATATATGGAAAGCATGGATGAATTGCTAATTAAATGTATAAATATACATACACGGAGGCATGGTTGAATTGCCAATGTATAAATAAATATACTTATGGAGGCATGGTTGAATTGCCAATATATAAATAAAAATATTTACAATGGCATGGTTGATTTGCCAAAGCATAATTACGTTGTTATGTGTTAGATGATTAAAATATCATCTATGGTTGTTGTATGTATGGATTGGATTAGGGTTAGATATTCTTAAATGAGAATAGTTTAGTACTTACTGGTTAGTGTATTATTTTACATTAATAAAATAATATTGGGGAAGACGTGGATGATTTGTCAAAACTTGGATTTTGGATATGTGATTTAAACAATTAAAATCATTATCGGGTTGGGATTAAATAGAGTATTTCTTTTATTATAATTTGTTGTTTAAATGATTAAACAACTGACTAGGATGGGATTAAATTCAAAAGAGTTTTTATAAAATGAAATGGTAGATTGGTCTAGGTATGAATATTATTTTAATAATTATTTAATAGGTATGGAAATTTAATAAACCTATTAATGGATGTGATTAGTATAGTATATATAATTATATATAGACATGTATATCGTGCTTTATTAAAGTTAAAACTTTATTAGGTTTGGTTTTGATTAGAGATGATCTGCTTATTGGTTTTCAGAGGCCTGGTAGAGTGAACTTGCTCGTAGGGTTTAACCCACGATTTATTTTTCAGGTTATTAGAGGTTCCAGTCTCGAGGTTGAGGATCCGCAGCTGGAAGACTGTCATTCGTCTATTCATCTTGTGTACTTTTAAATAGTATTGGATTATTGGATAATGTTATAAGGGGTCCTTGAGTTATGGGATTTCCGAATTGTAATTGTTGGAGAATCATTAAGTAATATTTATTTATTAGTTTTCTTCAGCGGTTTATTTATTCTTTATTATTTATCTTTGTATTCTGTACTTGTTAAATACTTAAATTGTTTTGATATCCCTTGATTTTGTGCGCGGACTTGATCAATCCGTGTTCCAAAATTAGGGGGTATCACAGTTGGTATCAGAGCACTCCAGGTTCAAGTGTCCCTAGGGTGTCTTTCGTTGTGTGACTTCCGCGTTGTGTACTCTTTTACTTAGAGCTTAAGTTTAGGATTCATTGTATTCTATATTCGGTCCGTTAGTGTGTCCTAATGGTAAATCATTGAGTCTTATCAGGAAAATGGTAAGACATCGATTTAGAAGGTATTGGTAAATCGTTGAGTCTTCCCCTAATTTTGAAGTATGTGTTTTATGGATTTATGCACCAATAAAATAATATGGAGGTATTTTAGGGACGGATTAACGGAATAGTTAAGTCCTACCTATTTATTTATGAATGGTATGGTTTAATACACCGGTATGGGACGGTGGCATTTCAGGGACGGATTAACCAAAGAAGTTAAGTCCTACCTATATATTTATAAGGGAACGGATTAACCATAGCGTTAAGTCCTACTTATTCGTGTCAGGTCAACGGAATAGTTGGATGGTATGCCATTGAAATAATATGGTTGGATAGTTTACTTTTATGTGGATATAATGGATTTTATATATATATATATATATATATATATATATATATATATATATATATACACACACACACACACATATGGGCCATGATATAAGCTTGAGTCTCAGGATCAGTGGTTAGGATGGAGGCGTATATTGCCGATTGAGATGGGTAGCTGGGTTTAAGGATGTGTGGGCTCTGGTAGAAGGAGGACTCGTAACCACCTTTGTGTGCGTTTTACATGAGATACCCACTATCCGGTTGAAACTGCTTTAGTTCAGTGAGAGTCTCTAATGTTTACTTATATTTATCAATTATATAAATATGGAATTAGCTAATTACGTGATGTGTCTGCTAATAATGAATATGTGTGGATAGGTTAATTTCCACACGGATAAAAGGAATAATGAAATTTGAAATTAAATAATCAAAGTTTTTATTTCATGGATTTGTGAATTCCGAGGACGGAATTCCGTTTGTTAGGGGGGAAGAATGTAATACCCCGATAATTTTAAAAGATTTATTAATTAGGATTAATTATTTTATTTTATTTTTCAATGATTTATTTTATTTTATTGAGTGCTAGATTAATTATCTTATTTTAATTAAGTTATATTTCGTGATTATGTATGATGATTGATTGTTTGTGTGGTTGATTATTGATTGAATTATTGGTGTGTTGATTTTATTGGTATTATATGACTTAGTTGTAAATTCTTGTTTGTTTATGTGCTTCATGTAATTAGTTATTTTAATTTCTGTATTTAATTAATTATCTTATTTATTTAAATTAATTGGATTGGGCTTAAGGAAAGTTGGACCAAAAGATGTGGTCTTGGGCTTGTATGAAACCTTATTGGGTTAATTAATGAAGGTCCGTGGTTATTTAATTATTTAAATGATCACTTTTGTATCAATTATATATATATATATATATATATATATAATTATATATAAATATAATTAATTAATAATTGTTATGGAAAGATATATATATAGATATATATTTATTGATATTTATAAGTATATATGATTTAATTAACTAATGAGTTAATTATGGAAGGAATATATATTTATATATATATATGTTTATAGATATAAATTATTTAAAGATTATTATTTTAATTCATAATACTAGTTGGAATAGGATTTGGAATTTAAGGTGTATAAAAATACACATAAGGCTTTAGGGTTAAAGGTTTTACACGTTAGAAAAATAAAACAGACAGAGAGAGAGGAAGAAGAAGGGCTGACAAGGAGGAGGTCGGATCTGAAAAGGAGGACGTCGGAATTGGAAGAGATAATTAAAGCTTAAAGCGTCGGTTTCGTTTCGAAACATTCAGGCGAGTTTTCTCTAACTTTCCTCTTAGAACTCATAAGGATTTCACCTTGAGTATCAAGGCTTTAATTAAATTTATTTGTTTAAAAATTATGGTTAGATCGGAATAATTAAAAAGTATAAACTATTATATTTGATTTTTAGATTATTGGATTTTAATTGATATATATAGGTGTTATGTATATTTTAAAATCAATCTATAGGTGGATTTGTGACCCAAGAGAGTTAATTATGGTTTCTTTATTTTCTAGAATTGTTCTGTAATTTTCTGGAATTTTTCTGATATTTTTAGGAATTTATTAGGATTTATTTTCCTATTATTTGTTAGGAAAATAATTATTAATATATATATATATATATATATATATATATATATATATATATATATATATATACTAGGTAACTGGCGCATGTGGAGCGGCGGCACAATAAAGAATTGATCCAGTGCATCGCGGTGTATGATAATAGGGTGTATACGCCAATTAGGGCCATTTGATTAATTAAACTTATGTGAATTGATATGGTGCATCGCGGCGCATAAAAGTTTGGTGCGCAGGTGTATCTGGACCATAGAAGTGGTCTGGTCAACTATGGATTATTTGGTGTATTGCAGACCATGAGAAGATGGTGCACTCGCTGATCTGGACCTTAGATCTATTATAATTAATAGAAAATAATCTAGTGTGAGCGTGTTCATTTGCGCACTCATTTATGACCATTGGATGCGGCATAAAGGAAGTGATGGATTCAGTGTGGTGAGCTCACGGTAGCTGAAAGAGCTTAGCCAATACCAGCACACAAGGAGGCTTGAATCCAGCGCGTGCAAGTGCATAGTAAGCACGTGGGCGCGCGTGGGAAACTATGTTGGCCTAATTCGACACTAGAAATTAAAACGGTCATAACTTAGTCATTTTAAATCGAAATTGGGTCATTCTTGAGCTCAAATTCAAGGATTTTTCGTCTTCTTTCCAATGGTACCAATTTCATTATTAGATTCCCATCCTACTAGGAGATATTTATGTTTTAGTGAGAAAGTGTCGGAAAACTATTTAAACCAATATGGAGTATTTAAAGGAAACTATTTCTGACATATTTAGTTGCACTAATTTGTGTAAATATAATAAATTAATAATTTGTTATGGAAGGAAGTGTATATATATATATATATATATATATATATATATATATATATATATAATTATTTATATATGGGTATATATAGTTTAATTTGTCTATGAGTTGTATGGAATGATGAATATATATATATATATATATATATATATATATGTATGTATGTATGTATATTGATTTTAAATAATCAAGGATTATTAAAGAAGGTGTTAAACACATATATACATTAAATAACATATGTGTAGGTATATATATATATAAATCATTTAAGATGATTAATATTATCATTCTTATTTGGCATATCTTAATAGGCTGGTTGTTAAATTAATGATATGCGTATAATATGCATGTGATGGCTATGTATGATTTAGCGTATTGTTAATTTTAAAGTTAATTCATGGTTAAAGTGTGGGCATGGATGAATTGTCAAATGATTAAATATATTACCTAAATATTTGTATGAATAGAATACATATATGGAAAGTATGGATGAATTGCTAATTAAATGTATAAATATACATACACGGAGGCATGGTTGAATTGCCAATGTATAAATAAATATACTTATGGAGGCATGGTTGAATTGCCAATATATAAATAAAAATATTTACAATGGCATGGTTGATTTGCCAAAGCATAATTACGTTGTTATGTGTTAGATGATTAAAATATCATCTATGGTTGTTGTATGTATGGATTGGATTAGGGTTAGATATTCTTAAATGAGAATAGTTTAGTACTTACTGGTTAGTGTATTATTTTACATTAATAAAATAATATTGGGGAAGACATGGATGATTTGTCAAAACTTGGATTTTGGATATGTGATTTAAACAATTAAAATCATTATCGGGTTGGGATTAAATAGAGTATTTCTTTTATTATAATTTGTTGTTTAAATGATTAAACAACTGACTAGGATGTGATTAAGTTCAAAGGAGTTTTTATAAAATGAAATGGTAGATTGGTCTAGGTATGAATATTATTTTAATAATTTTTTAATAGGTATGGAAATTTAATAAACCTATTAATGGATGTGATTAGTATAGTATATATAATTATATATAGACATGTATATCGTGCTTTATTAAAGTTAAAACTTTATTAGGTTTGGTTTTGATCAGAGATGATCTGCTTATTGGTTTTCAGAGGCCTGGTAGAGTGAACTTGCTCGTAGGGTTTAACCCACGATTTATTTTTCAGGTTATTAGAGGTTCCAGTCTCGAGGTTGAGGATCCGCAGCTGGGAGACTGTCATTCGTCTATTCATCTTGTGTACTTTTAAATAGTATTGGATTATTGGATAATGTTATAAGGGGTCCTTGAGTTATGGGATTTCCGAATTGTAATTGTTGGAGAATCATTAAATAATATTTATTTATTAGTTTTCTTCAGCGGTTTATTTATTCTTTATTATTCATCTTTGTATTCTGTGCTTGTTAAATACTTAAATTGTTTTGATATCCCTTGATTTTGTGCGCGGACTTGATCAATCCGTGTTCCAAAATTAGGGGGTATCACAAATTCCTAACATAATTTAGTTTCTATTTAGCGTCTCAAATTCCTTCTTAATTGTGTTTCTAATTTATTTTTGTATTTTGTTAATAAATAAATAAATAAATAAAAATTGTTAGACTAGTCTTGAAGAGATTCTTGTCAGTACTATTGTAATTTTTATGAGATTGAGAGATGTAGCTTCAATAGAGACTTGATTCTAGCGAATGTAGATGCTCGTGGAGTGGTATATAATAAAAAGACATATATATCATGTTGGTATTTCAATTGTTATATCTCTTTTTATTTTTTTAATGTAGGCAGATTTTAGCGGTTAAATTTTTGTTTATGCATAATTGATTTGTTGGCTTTCATTTATCTTTGTGATCGTGTCTGAAGAAGTAGCACCA